CCTCGGGAGCGGGTGCTGAGCCCCCCGCCGCCCCTGCCCTCCCCGGCCGCGGGGGGTAGGCAGGCAGGCAGGCTCTGGGCTACCCCGCCCGGCGCCGGGCCCGCCGCCGCCGTGCTCCCGGGTCTGCCTGCAGAAGGAGGGGGGGGTGTCCCCGGGCGGTGAGGGCGGAGGGGAGCCGCGGGCCCCTCCGGAGCGCGTCCCCCGCTTCCTCAGCCCCCGGCGGTGCCCTGGCTTGCCTTCCCCGCCGCCGGGCCTTGAAACTCTGCCCCGGGGCTCGGTCGGCTTGCTTTTTTTTTTTTTTTTTTTTTTTTTGTGTGTGTGTGCGCGCTTGACGGTTCCTGAAGCATGAACTCCTGCAAGGGAGTGATTTTAATTTCCCAGCAGCTCTGCTTTCTGGGTTACTTCCTGTCCCATTCTTTAGTACTTATCTTTTACTTCAATTCCCTGGAGGAGCTGGCTTGACAGGGTAGCGATCCTGCCGTTATTGTCCCTCCAACTCTTTAGTATCCCGAGAGAGTGCCCTTCCTTTCGAGTTGAGATGCCGATATAGGTAAATAACCCTTTCCTTCCTAATTTTTGAAGGCTCTTCCTATTTCGACCTGCTGTTGCTTTGGTATTAACCGGTTTTGTTCTCCATTTCTCTCTTTTATGTCATTGTGTGGCTCAGTTCTACTTTTATTTTTCAGGTTTAAGCTGCCTTAAAGGAGAATTAAAAATTGTGACTCCAAAGAACAGAATAACACAGAAGAAAGAAAACAGCGCTCAGAAAAAACCCAGAAAGGTGATAATTCAAGTAGACTCTCAGAATCATCCTAGACACAGGGTTTGGCTGGGATTGGGGCCTCTTGTGTTTTTGATGGATTTGAATAGGTAGCATTAGATTTCTTTGTTCTCTTAAAACCTACTTGCTATTGAGCTTTAAAAGTTTGAAAGCTCTGAAGCCCGTTTGAAGTATGGTTCCTCTTTCTTCTTGTAACGCTTTGTCATTTTCTAAATTTAAGCTGCAAACATTATTTTGATTATGAATTGCTACTTAATGTTTTTTTGTGTCTCCTCATTTAAGGAATGTCGCTTAAAATTACTTCACTCTGGGTAGTTAAAAGGGTCTTTTCTTAAAGCCTTTTCACAAATTTATGGGTGCAACACTGGATTTGTTTCTGCTCTGATTCTAAAATCTTTATTGGAGGAGGTCATGGTAATTGCATTATGTTGGTTTAGTCGTACCTAACTTTTGCCTGAGTAATATTTTTTTTTATTGTATTGTAATGCAGCTGCAAAAATTTAAAGTCATTTAATTGCACGGTGTTTGTTTACAAGTACTTATTTTGGGGGTTGAGATCACAGAAGAAGATAATGCTGTTAGCTGCTTAAGGGAAAAAATGAAAGGAGTCATCAAAAACTGAATCCTGCTGGTAGGAGGAAGGTTCGATTTCAGGGGAGAGCAGTTCGTAGGGAGAATTGCTTGTTTCACGTGGTAAGATGAAGAGATGGGTTGTAGAAGGAGGGGGGGGTGTGAATGATGTCAGTCAGCCTTTTTCTGTATCCTACTGTTAGTGTGCCCCAAATAATGGGAGTTTCTGCGTGTTCTTTTAATGCAGCATCTGTCTTGAGTCCATTCTAATCCATTTCAAATGTAGATGAGTTTGTGTTATTTTGGTATATATATCCTCTGTATAGGTCCCTCTGGTCTTTGTCGTGTTTTCAGAGGTGTCATTGACTGTACCAGGATGTTCTTCATTGTCAGAAATAAATTATTTTTTAACAGTAGTTGCAGGGGAAAGAGCAGTACCTGTTGCCAACAGTCTTGGTCAAGGGTGGATAATTTTTCTGATACAGGTGTCTTTAGCATATGATAAAAAGTAGCTGCTGCATGTCAAAGACTAAATAGAAAATCCCCCAGTAACACAAGTGCAACAAATTCTGAGATGCATTTTGAAAGTACAGGGAAGAAATATTCCATGTTATTTTGACAGCATGCTGCAACACCACAAGTAGTAGTGGGACACGTGGACATGCCCAATGTGATTGCAGGAGGGATTTTTATGCTAATAGGCGAGACAGATGTGCATTAGTATAAACTTACCAGTGCAGTTATGGCACACCTGTTTCATCCAAAGTTGGTTTATTATAACACCTTCTTTACAACCCATCCAGTGCATCTAACATCGGGGCTTGTGTTAATGTAACTACTCCAACAGGACACCTCTTGGTGCCAATAAGTTGTAAGATCTTTAGGATTTATTCATGGAAGGAAATGTAAGTTTTTATTTAATTTGTCAAGCTCCTTCATAATGTGAAATGCCAGTGCAGCACAGTTTGATTCAGATGCAGAGGCTGGAATTGAGTTCACAGGAATCAGGGAATTAGCTTCTGGCAGAAATTTGCACATGGTCAAAACAAGGAATAGAGATAAATGATATGCTGAAGTCCTGCTCTTAATCTCTGGAAGAAATGCAGCATATTGCAAGTATAACTAGCACCTTAGATAAAGTTGCACTTTTTTTTTTAATCTTGTGGCTATATACTTATTTTTGTTTTGCCTTATTGTGAATTCTAAACCCTTAAAGGAAATGTGCTGTCTGAGAGGCTGTTTTCCATTGCTCCAGCATTTGCTTACACAATGATACTATCGCAGTGAAAAACGTACTTTATCCACTGAAGTCATCCAACAAATTTTGTCCACTTGGACTCTTTTAGGCTATATTAAAAAGAAATACAGAGCAAATACAAGTCTTCCAGAGATTGTTGAATGAAATAAACTCTGTAAGAGGCACTCATTTTGTTCATCAGCTGTGCTACAAGTATTCAGGCTGAAGTGACTGCTTTAATGTGGTTTGAACTAGCCATTGTTTTCTGCTTCTGTCACTCTATGAAATATTGGTGTTTGGATTCTTTAAGGACAGCAAGTCATGTTAAAATACATAAATCTTATACATTAACACTTGCTATGAATTATTACTTACTTTTAAGGCTAAGCTTTCATCTGACTTTTACTGTTTCAAACTTAGTAACAACACCACTGTTAAGTTAGAAGAGAGATTGTATTTTATGCACGGTACAAGAGGATCTCCAAGCATGCTGCAGAGCCCAAGCTCCCTGCAGTTTGTCAGCGCACATCTTGAGGGAGGAGAGTTGTGGTTGTGTGAACCTGACGTAGCATTCTCTACTGAAAACGATCTGTAAGGCCTTGCTTTAGCACTAGCATTGAGGTCCTTGATTTGGAAGGATTTGCAGTATTTTCTTCACTGGGCTCTGCTTGTGGTTAAGGCTGCCAATGTATGGGTGGGAATTCTGAGGATGGTTAATAGCTGATGCCTCACCGGTGCTTTCTGAAGGTGAGGTTTCTTCTTTTGCACTCCAGTTTGCAGACCTGAAGTTACCTGAGCTGGGTGATTTCACTAATTCTCCGTCAGGTCCAAAAGTCAGACCTCACAACCTCTCTGTGAAATGGATAATAGGTGGTAAAATGATATCTCTGTGCTTCAGTTTCAGCCACCTGCAGAATGTAACAGCACAACAGCTGCTTATTAGTATATAACAATGCCAGTCAGCATCGTGCAGTGCTATAAACACCTGAAGTTGACGGAGGACTTTTAGATTAACTCTTTTCGTTATTTTAAATGTAGTATGTCCAAGCTACAAGATGGCATTACAGAAGCTCTGACGAGAAATGTGTAACTTCTAATGACTCCTTATGAAGAGTGAAGGCTTCTTTCCTTTGAAGTAGCGGTTTCTGTGATGTTTTGGATTCATGCACTGTTAACTCATTGCTTTCGGACTCAGCAATTCGCATGTGTTGCTTGGTGATTTTCATCTTGGCCACATGGATACCTCAGTTGATGTCTGTCTGGGATCTAGCGTAGAACATCTAGCAGAAAATATATTCAGGTTTATAAGGCTGTGTGAAATTTTAATATTTCGCATGTTATTTGCAAGCTTTACGATTGTGGTATGAGAACACAAATAATAACATGACTGTTTGTCTTACTCTCTTGTCTGAAGAGCTCCTGAAATAGGAAGCTGAGTGACATATGAAGATGATAGTCACATTTAGTTTCTTTGTCAAACACATATTGACCATTTTTAAAATGCCATTTGAGTGAGAACACATTTAGCTTGTTCGAGTTTCAAAATGGGTGGGAGAAGTGGGTTGTGAGAATAATGAATGCTAATGTGATTATCCTTATTCCATAGGGCTTTCTTTTTTTGTTGTTGTTTATTTGATTAAATGTCTTGGAATACTTCAACCACAAACAACTAGGATCTACACTGATTAGGTCTATGCTAGATATTAAATGTCGTGTCAAGGTACGCTTTCCTTGTTGTATAGAGTTAGGCTAACACCAGTAAATTACGGTCCTTATTCTGCTCTTGGATGTGTAATCTTAGGGCTTAGGAATCAGGTCTATCTGTTAGCTCATCTGAATGAGCAAAATACTGTATTTATTGTAAGGTCTTGCTTTTAGTACCAACCTTGAACTTTCTTTAAAGTAGGTATAGACATATGTCAGAATTAATTTCCCACATAATGTTTGCAATAACTTTAATAAGGTGACGCATTGATGTAGAAAAGTCTAAGATCTCTTTGACAAGATGAGACATTATCAATAGATAATGAAGATTTGGGGGTTTTTTTATTTAGTGTGCTACTTCTACTACAATTATTAGTATTTTAAGCAAACTTTGTGAAGTCATTGAGTAAGTGAGCTTTACTTTCACTAGATATGACTTCTTTTTATTAAAGTTGCAGATCTTACTCTTGCCATATGCAGCTAATTTTCCTTTGGGGGGAAAAAGCTTGTTACTTTTTTAGTGGAGCAATCTGTTACCTTGTCTGTAGTCTGTGAAGTCAGTGCAATTCTAATTTGCATCAGCTAATAAAAAATGTGTGGGCTTTAAAGTGAAAATCATGCAAAAATTTAAAAAAAAAAAAGGTGAACTAACGACTGATCATCTATGCAAAAAAACAAGGCTAGAAATGTGATCAAATTAGGTCACGGCAGTGCAATTTTGTGCAGGGCTGTGAGCGTATCTGCAGACCTTGTATGTTTTATCTTGGGAAGCAAAGCTTTTGGAAAATGCGTAAGAGGGATGAAGAGAGCTTTTTTTCACCCTCCTCTTCTGAGCTATCATCGGGAAGGCAAGATTTTATGTTGCATTAAGTGACAGAAATTTTAACTTAAGCTAAAAGCTGTACAATTCATATAATTGTTCTGATGCAACTCATTTGCAGAAGAAACAAGTCACAGTTGTTTTTGTGTGATCTGCTGTACAATGAAGTAATTAATGCTTTTATTATTTATTATATTATTGCAGTGCTCACACATGATAAGGGGTCCTGTTGTGAGAAGCTTGCAGCCAAAGTGAACACAAAAGGTCAGATAGAGGTGCACAAAGAATTAATGAAATAACATTGATGAGTATGGGCTCTCAACAGTGCTGTGAGAAATGGCGAAATGTTGGGACTGATCCTGTTAACTGCAGATGACAAGGAAGGAGGATAAGGAGGGCTAGTCAGAAGGAGGAAACTGGATAGGGTTTGTAACTGGCGTTCAGTAAAATTTGATACTAAAAGGATAGTTTTTTTATATGAAGAAAAGGGTGAAGATTAAGGTGGTGGTATTGCTTGTATTGTGAAGGTATCTTTTCCTGTTTGTGAAACACAGCGTGTTAGTCTGATCCATCATGTGAGGAAGAGATGGCTATCTGGTGGTGCTAGAAGTCCAGTTGAAGGACAGACAAGTCAATGCTCTTATGTTGTCAGGCTTTATCCTTTAGACAGGGAAGCATAGATGGGATCGAGATTTAAAAAAAAAACCCCACACCACCACCACCACCAACAAAAACCCACAAAAATGGATTGGGAGGAACTAAACGGATCCTGAAGGTTTTTCCTGGCATCTGACTCCCACAGGGAGATGTTGAACAGTCAGGCAGAAATGCCTACTATAACCTTTGCATCCATTCTTGTTCCATGGCAGGAGCAGATACACATAATCCTTAGAGAAAAGTTTAGACCATTTCTTCAAGGCTTACTCCAGAGAGAAAGCACATCTCTAGTTTCTCTTGTCTTCCTTAAAATATTCTCTGTAGCCTTTTTCTCACCTGGCAGAAGCAAACTCTCCCCACCCCAACCTCTGGAGGACTGTCTGATAATGAAAGAAAACACACTTCAGGGCCTTTTCTGGCATAACTGCATTAAAATATAGCATTCTAGCACAGGTACAAAGTAAAAGTAAGTAAACCTCTCGCTTTTACTCCTTGCAACTAATAAGAAATATCATTATTTTTTTTTTAAGGGGTAGCAGGTTGTTTGGCACACATGGGCACACAAGATTATGACTAGGGAAGACAATGAAGAGTGGGACATCCATCAAAGAGTAACAACCTCTTATAAGGTAATTCAGGAGCACATTGAATTTATCCTGTTGTACTTGCAAAATCAATTAAGTAGTTGTTGTCCTCCATTTTCATGGCACTATACAATCATTATAACCAAGAACGTATAGGTATGTTTTTTCCCCCCTCTGCTTCATTTCATTTTTTTACTTGCACAGAGGAAGCCAGTATGTAGCAATCCAAGTGCCATACTGTGTTCTGAATGAGATTGATTACAGTTGCAAAACATTAAATATTAAATGCCAAATGGCTAATGACTTCCAGTAGTCCTCCCTTCCTTCTCCAAAGATTGATGCTGTAAATGGAGATTTGCAAACAGAGGAATTTTAAATGATCTGTGGAACAGAACTGAAAATGTTTTCAAAGCTGGTGTGTACCTAGAACTATCCTGAAACCTTTAATGTTACGGTTAAGTATTCTTGTCATTTGAATTTCATTGCTCGCCATAGGGGTGAGATAGAAGAGTAGATATTTACAGAAACTGCGCAAGTGATAAAAGGAGTTGCTTATGCCTGACTTTGTGTTCTGCTTTGTATGTTTTAGTACTTATGTACTTTAGTACTAGCTAATTTGAATAAGCTCTGCTAGTCACATGCAACATATGGGGCCAGTGCCAACTTTTTATAATGCTGCATTAGAAATATACCCACCAGCTGAGAAGTGTGATATCAAGAGCTTTGCTTTTTCTTAACCAACTGTCTTCATAGATAGTTGCAGGGGGGATACTGCTGGCCCCTTAAATGAGAAATCCCATTTTGCTTCATCTATTTAGTCATCCTATCTCTTTCTGTAGCATTTTGAGCAACTAGTTTGACCTTAATTTTCAGGATCAGATGAGATCTTGCAAGTATTAGTCCTTTACAAGAAGGGACTGTAAAATGGCAGTAGAAAGTTTGTTTATATTAACTTTTGATCAGATATTATCAGTTTGAGGGAAGAGTTCTCATATCTTGTTTTTGTACACATTCAGAAAGTAGGGCTAAAGGGGCACACAGGGTTTTTTTTTTGTTTGGTGGTTGTTTGTTTTTTTTTTTTTGAAGGATCTCCCCCTGACTCATTATCAGTTAGATTCTACTATCAGTTTTCACCTGTAAATCCAAAGAAAGATTTTGTTCTTGTAGTTGGAATTCCATTAACAGTACTATTAGTGGTGTGATCCAGAATGAAGTCAAGCTCACTGTCTTATAGGTGAGCATGTTCTGAAGTGCTAATTGGAGTTTAGAAAAGAGCTTAGCAAAAGCTTATTAGAGTCAACAGAAATACTTCCATTGTCATCAGATTAACCAAGTTTGATTTTTGGAATATGCTGCAAAAGCTGAACTATTGAGTTAGCAGTTGCTGGTTTGTAAATCCCCTCTTACTCCAGTGTCAGATAATGGAGTTCATACTATAAAACAAAACAAAGCCAGTATCTAAGCCATGTATAACCTACAGAGCTAAAAAGTCTTCTTTCATAACCCTATGCTGAAATAGTGATTGTTGCCATATATGGTAAGTTGAAGCATTTATAAATGTCACAGACAGGCATTTGCTGTATGTAATTTCCATATTTGCAATGTAAGTAGGGTTGTTGTAGCTACCTGTTAATTATGAGTTTATATCTGTCCAAGAAGCAGATAAATAACTTCTTTGCAATGGGCACAACTAGGTTATAAAAGACTGAAGAGATAGCTATGCCTTTATCTGGAAAGATGGCAGTGATTGATGTTTTCACTTTTCTCTTGTCTGTGTGTATATCTGGATCACAAGAACCCAAGTGCCCTGTTGGGATATGGGGAGTTGATTGCAATGTCTTTTGGACAAACTATAAATCATGAGGATCTGGAAATCCTTATGATATTTATGTAAAAGAAGGTTCAGGAGGTGATGTGGGTTGATGTCCTAATAAAACAAGGTTGCTGTAAATTTTAAGTTTTGCTTAAAATTCATTTTCGTCTTTAGAATTTTTCCTTGTACTTTAATCTTGATTAAGTTTACAGGAGTTTATACTTTTCTTTATCTTTTTTATCTTCTAGTTCTGTGTTAATATCCATTGCAACAGTTTTTTAATGTTTTCTGAGACTCCTATTGCTCAGCATTACCTTTCTTATACCCTGCTTTTATTCTCTTTCTTCTGATACTCCTTTCCATTCTAGGAATACCTGTTAATGGGATATGATACACAATGTATGTGAAAATGTAAACACTTAACAGACTTTGTGTACCGTGGAAGAATCCCTAAGTACCTGTATTTTTTTTTCTTGTCGCCAGCTGGGTAGCAAGTAGAACTACAGATGAGTACTTTTCAAACAGAGCATGGAGTATAGTCATTTGTTCTTTCCCAATGTGTGATTTTATCTAGGCTATTTTACAATGGCTATTTTAGATAGCCTTTTGGCCCAGCTCTCTCATACACTGTATCAAGGTAATTATAAATTGAATTGTTCTGGTATATATTCTCATGGTGTTTGACAGGACTACATTAACTGCACTTAAATGTTTTCAGGTCTTGTATATTATCATCTTTGTGTTTGATTTTTGGAATATAGAAGGTCTTTGCAGTCTTTGTGTACTAATAAAGAGGTCCACAAGCCAAAATACAGACAGTAGACTCTAATTTAAAAAAAAAATTAGGGAGAAAAAGAAAATTAAAGTTTTCAGTTTGAACATTAGTGTTACTAATATTCACATGCAGTAGGTCACACGAAAAGATTACATTAGTAAGATGAAAATATCTTCACTGAAGCTTAGAGGTGATACATTTCTAGAAAAAAAAAAAAAAAGAATATCATAGTTCAGTTGCTGTAGCAATGCGCTGCTGTTTCATGCAACAGTTTAGATCATCTATTTAACCAGTATCTCTGGGGATAGTGATATTAATCGTGTTGTGATTTTTAAATGTTTACTATTTATAACTTGTAAGTGTCCTTTTTTTCTGCAGTTCAGTGATGTGAACCATGTATTATGACTTTGCTAGCAACAGTGAAATTGGTTTTTATCCTATATATAAGATCACTTTGCTCTGCATACAGAGAGTAAATCTTACCATTGCTTTTCATTAGTACTGACTTTTTTCTAGATGTCTCTTTCCTGGTCCCAATCCTAATTTATTCATGCTTTATATTGATTCAAGGTGACTAGTATGACCTCATGACGCTTCTGTAAAAGCCAGATTCAGCTAGGATGTTACACCATCACTGTCGGAGAAACCCTGAACTACAGGAAGAGTTGCAGATTCAGGCTGCAGTTGCTGCTGGCGATGTTCACACCGTGCGCAAGATGCTGGAGCAAGGATATTCTCCAAATGGTCGAGATGCCAATGGCTGGACCTTGCTTCATTTCTCTGCAGCAAGAGGGAAAGAGAGATGTGTCCGTGTTTTTCTTGAACATGGAGGTGAGTTGCCTGGAGAGAAAAATCTTGATACCCATCTCGCAGCTTTCTATCCCAATTTGGATTGTAGGGCTTTCCAGCACTGGGTAGGTATCAAGACTACTACTGGGTTTTGTTTTGGTTTTTTTTTTTTCTTTACTCGGAGTAGTACTTCATCTCTGTTTACTTCTGGTGCATACTCTGTGAATGAGGTAATAGCTTTATATCTTAATACCTTAGTATTTCCCCCCCACCCCCAGAATTGCCTAAGAATTGTTAAAAGAATATTCATAGGGCAGAAGGACTGATTATAAAATTAAATGCACTCACAGCACTCCCTATAGGCTTTTCTTCTCTGTTAGGGGGTATTATTAGAGGAAGGCGGGTCCTTGAATTGAAATCCTAGTGAAGTTTGTTTCATAATTCTCAAGCAAGTTAACAAGTTGCATTAAAGATTAAGTTTCTGTGTAGGCTTTAACAGAGTCTGCTAAACTTTATGAAAACAGTACTCTTTGTGCAAGGACTTTGGTGTCAGCTAGTCCAGTTGAGTGTACACCTCTCCTGCATCCATCTGTAGTGAACCTTTATTTAAGGAACTGATTGAGTTTTCTTGGTATAAGTGATATACTCACTTGGGTGATAATTATTACCAGTCAAATGGTATGGTCAGAATTTCTTTTTGCTATATCTTCTTTCAAGGCCACCTAAAGTTTTAGAAGTGGATAGTCTTAATCTTTTAATGTGATACTGGAGAGGAAAAATAAAAATCAGTAGATGTTCTCCACATTCTGATTAGTGCTCTTAAAGAACAGCATTCTCTATTCTAGCGCTGTTCTTATCAAATGAATTAGAACTAAGATGTTTTCAGTCCCAAGGAAACTGAAATTATCTTTTTGATGCTTTACATATCTGAGGCCATATGGGCCCCTTATGTATGTTGCAGTATTTGTCAGATGTATGGATCACCCTTAAAATTGAATGGCATTAATAGGCTGTGGTATTTGCACGATTAGTGATATGTTCCATAAGAGCAGTAGTGAAATACAGCCTAAACAACTGGACCCTATTGATATACCTGCTACAGGTTCTAACCACATAATATTGGTAAACCCTCATATCCTTATTGGAAGGGGGGGGGAAGCTACTAAATTGCTCTAATAAATAAATTCTACTTTTTAAATGTGATATATGTGGATAATCTCAAGCCTTCGGTTTGATAATTCAAAATTTTTAGGCTGTAAGTCTCGAAATATGTTGGCTTTAGCTCCGTAAACTTGAAGATGATCTGAAGAAAAAAACCCTTATGTATTCCTATGTATTTTCATTGTATAAGTTTTGATATTGAATAGATGCTGATGCAGTGTTTCGTTTTTATTTTTGTTGTTACTCTTTCCTATACAAAGTACCAGCTGAATCTGATGCCTCGTGAAAACTGCCTGTAATGAAACACCCTTGTTCTGGAAGCAGTATAGTGTTTAATCACCAAGACTAGAAAGTTGAGTAACAAATAGTGTGAGGGTTAGTCATCTACGGCAGCTTTCCTGTAGCTGAGCCTCCCTTCAGAAAATTGGCACTGTTTTGTGCCTTCCCTTGTTTTCCCTCAAAACAGAGGCATAAAAGATAATGAGTATTTAAAACATAATAATGTCACAAATGAGCTATTAAGCAGTGAATGAGCTGACTCTTAAAAGCCAAGTTAATTGTGCCTGCCTCATTAGTGAGAGGTTTGTGTCTACCTTTCTTCACATAGTCTCCACCTTTCTCCCTCTCAAGAAGTGAATTATTTTGAGGTTGGCTCTTAATCCCTGTGGACTAAAAAGATATTGGGGTGAAGGAAAAAGTCATTTTCTGGTGTGAATCTTATGGTAAACAGAGTATTGAACTGACTGTATATATTAGTAATAAAGAAGGTAGTGAGGGAGTGGATGGAGTTCTGGAGGAAACGGGGAACTGAGATGTTAGTGGGAAGGAAGGGGCAACTGGTGATAGTTGTGGCTGTCTGTAAGGGTGATGAAGCTCAGCAGAGCTGGAAATATTTTCATAGTACAGGAATGAGCAAACCACACTGGGCTGTTGCTGAGAATAGGTGCTGTGCCTCAGATCTGAGATGCCGGAAGACTACTGTTGTACTCTTGCATGGTAGTGGGATGGAGATGGATTTTGGCTAATGGAGGCTCAGAAGGAATCTGGTCGCTGACCTGGAAATAAAAGGTAGCTTCTTATGGGAGTCATGACCTGGCTGCCTCCTGCTTTTTGCTTTTTTCTTCTCTTCCATCTTTGCTTACCAGCAAAGAAAAGAGCCAGAGGACAGTGTTGTGCATACAGATTGGCTGATTTGAGTGGAGGTGGTGGAACAGGAGGAAACTTTTTATTATCTGCTGAGCAAGGAGACACAGATAGGGGAAATGCATAAAAAAACCAACAGACTAAGGGATGAAGCCAGCAGAAATACCAACTAGATGCAGAGGTAATAGGTCAGATAATAAATATTCTTTAGCAAGTGATGAAATGCAGAAAGTTGATCAGAACCATGGCGAAACTTAGTTTTCATGAAAAATAATGAATTTGACTTTGTTAGTGTATTTGTCTCATGTTAATAAAGTGAAGATGCTATGAATCCAGCTCTTTCCATCCATAGAAACAATGTAGAGTCACAAAGCTCAACAGGAAAGCAACACAAAAATAGGGAGTGTAGTTTTCGGTAATCTTGGATTTTTGCATAACAAGCTTTTTTTTTCCCTTTAGTGTACTTTTTTAAATTTTCAAAATGACATACAGAGACAGACAGTTCAACACTGGACAAGAACTATGTTTTATTAATCTCCGACTACCACTCTTAACTTCGCAACAAGCTAAAGTCTTGAAAGTGTGTAGTTATTAACTGTCCCTTGGCAGTATCTTCTCAATACTAATTGAGCAGGACGGTTTCTGGTTACTTACATTAAAGTGAAGAAATTATTCACTAAAGCTCCTAGAAATTGAAGAGTAACAAAAAAGTAGCCAAACAGAAGTATTTATTTGTTTTTAATCTTGGTTGCAAGGTATCTAAATTTTAGTAAGGTCACGCAGAATCTGGGAGAAACTAGAGAATGCCAAATGCCCATCTCCCTAAACCAGCTCATAAAGTGTTTCTTTAGCCGTGTTTCTAAACGTCCTGGTCAGAATTAAGCCCTAGTTGGGGGAAGTAAGCTTGAAATAAAAGTACTTTATGAAGCCAGAAGCATTGCTTTCTTGGCTTCCCAAATTAGACTGTGGTAGAGTGACCTAATGAAGGTGTCAAGAAAGTAGGGAAACTCTCCCACTGAGTTGTGAATTGAAACTGTAAAATATTAGACTCTTGGGAATCTATATATCCTCTAGATTACAGTATTAGTAAAGAGTTTCATTAGTAGAGTTTAAATGACTAGTTTAGGTGCCCAACTAATACAATACAAATATACTGAAATACAATAACTGAATATCATTGTGTTGCAAATTTTCAATCTCAAGTGAGCTTGATTGCGGTAATTTGGTACCCTTGATCAGCACTTCAGGGTTTATGCCATTGTATTCTGCCTTATATTTAAGAACATTAGAAGTGACCAAATGCAGCTGTTCATGTTTTTAGATTCTGCTCTCCCCAAATTAATGGGAAGCTTGAAAATAAATAATTTTTTGACAGTCAGGATGGGGACAAGATAAATTCTGGCAAGTGCTGGCTTCATCCGTTCCTAGTTAAATATGCTTGTACTAGGTACTTTTTTTCTTTTTTTATACCTCCGCGGATTCTGAAAGGTAAGCTGAGAATAATTTCCAGTTAATTTCTACCTTGCTTGTGTTCCAGAGGGAGAGAGTTACTTTACAGCATGATACCAATACTGAAACCTTTTAAAAAGCAAACAAAAAACCCCACAACAACCCAAGTTCTTAAGGCAACATCAGCTTTGTAGCGTTACTTTTACTGACACGGGCTGAATGGATGGAAATTGTGTGCAACATAATGCAGGTCCCACTTCTGCTAGGAGCCCTTGTGAAGTTCAGATGTTTTCCAGGAGATGGCAGCAAAACATTGACTGAATAGCAACAGACGTTTTGGTCTTGTTAAAATTGTTTCCCTAATCAAGGGGGAGACTGGTACTATTAGTTCACTAAAAGCCCATAATCTTGATGGGAATTACAATATTTTTATCGTGAGGTTTTGCTACCGGGTTTACTTTTGGAAAGTTAGTTGTTTGTGTTGCTTGGTTGCCCAACTGAGAAGCTTTTTTTCCTATTCTTGTTGAGACGCTTCTCTTATGTGACTTAGTATTTTTTTGGTTCACTTTAGTGGTCAAAAGCAATGAAATTTTGGGAGTAGGGAAAGCATGGAAAGGTACTTAAAACCATAGGTAAAGGGCATCCTTATTTTGCAAGTAAAATATTGGGTTTGGATTACAACAACCTGTATAAAAAATGCATATACATGCACACACAAAAGTTGGGGCATATCTGATTGAATTTGGAAATAGCATAGACTAAACAGGCTAGTGGCAGTATCCTGCACCTCAGTCGGGGGGTAGAAATGATTGACTTGCATGCCCTATGTAGCATGGAAGAGAGAAGGCACAACGTGAATTTTTTTTTTTTTTAAACATTTTTGTGGAACATGGCCCTGGCTGCTGCTGTCTTCTTTCCATTATGTCCATCTTTCTCCCAGATTCTGCCTCTCAGAATGTGTCATCCCTGGCATCTTAATTCTCATGCTTATGCTACTCACTTTATTTATCGCCAGTCAGGAGATAATGTAGAATAGTCTGAGCAGTGTGAAGAAAGAGACTCTGGGAGCAGCAAACATAATTTTGAAATAGTATCTTTGTCTTTAATGACTTTGTGGGTTGTACTGATTCTTTGCTATATTTTGGACATCATCATAGTGCAGGTTAGGAACCCCCTATTCAGTCACTAACTTTATTTTCCTGCCAACCTATGGATGCTTTGTCAATTACTTTAACTCAGGTTAGTGTAACTTTACAAAGCACTGAAACTTACATTTTTCACAGAAGACTAGGAAGGCTGTCACTACTAAGGGACTAAACTTTCCTTAATCTTTCTCTTGTTATTTCTATGTTCCTTTTCTATACACTAGAGACAGTTCTCGCATTTTATTTCTCTGTGTAGTCAGGCTGCATTAGTTTGTATGTTGGAGTTTGTTTGTTTGTTTTCCTACCCTCAGTCTTCACATTTTTAAAAATCCTTAAAGTTGTTGGATCACCTTTGTAGCTGTATTCTGTGCTCTTTCTTGGCAGTCCTTTTATTTTGGTATGATACCTATCTTGGTGTGTTATCTGGATATGGTCACAGTAGGTCTGTATTGGGAAGCTTATTTCTGTTGCTCTGTGTTAGCACCTTTGTGTGTTCAGATGTGTTCAGACTAAACTAGCTAATTTATATCATATTGTGAACTTAACTTACAGCAGGTCTGAATTTTGAGATGCAAATTGGCATCTCCCACCCTCTTCCCCTCTCCTGTTTGAGTGTGATGGCGACCGAGCAGAAAACTCTGCCCTCTCTATGCGGTACTGGAGAGCAAGTGCTCCTCTTGAGCAATGTCTATGAGCAGTGGGTGTTAATAGCCTTCAGCCAAGTTTGTTATAAACCTGTGTGGTCACAATGTCCTGTTCTTACCATCCCCCTCCCCCGCTCCCTACTACTTTTCTTCTAAATACAGTATGTATAGATGAGGAAATTGCAAAGAATTCAATGTGCCAGGATGCAAGGACAGGGCTGTCAAGGTTGTAGAAGGCGGACAGACACCCCTAGGCTTGTCTGCTCTTACAGATGATGTGCTTTGTGCACAAATGTACGATTACAGAGCAGACAACACCACAAGCAACTGTGAAGGACAGACCCCAGCAGTTGTTTGGATAGATACACAGGAGTATTGAAAACATGTCAACTTAAGGCCAGTATCTTGTGCAGATAGTATCTCTGGTTACCAGCTAGGACACTTAGGTTAGGAAGGAGCCTCAAATTTCCAAGCTGTAGTTTGTACCTTTTAGCATCCATGGATAGTGGAAGGAGAAACCTCACAGCCTGGCTTGTTCTGTAGCTGAGAAATGGTAACGAGGCAGACACCTTTCCTTTGGTAATTAATTTGGTATACAGGAATAGTCACTTGCTTTACAAGTTTGGGTGTTCTGGGGAAATTAAGTAAATTGATTTGATTATTTTAATTTTTAAATTCATAAATCAGACTGAGTTTTTGTGCTGTGTTTGGGACGGGGGGGGGGGCGGAATCTGTGTAAGCACTTGTATTCTGCACTAACATTTTTCCTGACTCCTTCCACAAGTGGATGTTTACATTCTTGTAAAATCTTAAATTTTTGTAAAACTATAAATTCAGAACAGATTCATCATCTATAAAAAAAAAGATTTTATCAAGATAATCTAAAATAACATATATCCTACATGCTTTGGAAATCCTGCAGACCACAGAGAAACATTTTACCTAATACAGTATTACACCCTAAAAACAATACATTGTTGCCAGACCACAAAACATCCGCAATTTGGGACAGCAGATGTTTCTACACATGCTTCTTTTTAAGACCAAGAAGCAACACAAGGGAAAATAAAAAAGTTGAACATTGAGAAAGAAATGTAATATTGTAGAGCTGGAGGAAAACTGGATGGACAGAGAGATTTGAGTAATTAGGCTAAGAGTGCTAGGAAGATGTGGAAAACTATTTGTCAGATGGAAACATATGTATATGAAAGAAAAAGTGGGTTTTTGTGTAACTCTTTCTTAAATACAATTTAACTTTTTCTTAAAAATAGCATGTTCATGAAAGCAAGAAGTAGGTTGAAGTACAAAAAAATCCTGTTTTGCTATGCCTGAGAAGACTAACTTTCAACCGTTTGATTATTTTTTTACAGCACCGGATTACTGTAATGCCTTCTAATTATTTTTTAATTTTATTTTAACTTCAGCTGATCCCACAGTTAAGGACTTAATTGGAGGCTTCACTGCTCTGCATTATGCAGCCATGCATGGCCGAGCGAGGATTGCACGCTTGATGTTGGAGTCTGAATATAGAAGTGACATTATTAATGCAAAAAGCAACGATGGTTGGACTCCCCTCCATGTAGCAGCCCACTATGGCAGAGACTCATTTGTCAGACTCCTGTTGGAGTTCAAGGCTGAGGTTGATCCGCTCAGTGATAAAGGTACTACACCGCTTCAGCTGGCCATTATCCGAGAGAGGTCAAGCTGTGTGAAAATCCTTCTGGATCACAATGCCAACATCGACATTCAAAATGGTTTCCTGTTACGATACGCTGTGATCAAAAGCAATCACTCTTACTGCCGAATGTTCCTTCAGAGAGGGGCGGATACAAACTTGGGTCGATTGGAAGATGGACAGACACCCTTACACTTGTCTGCTCTTAGAGATGATGTGCTTTGTGCACAAATGTTATATAATTACGGAGCAGACACTAACACAAGGAACTATGAAGGACAGACCCCACTGGCTGTTTCAATAAGTATTTCTGGAAGTAGCCGACCCTGTCTGGATTTCTTACAAGAAGTGACAAGTATGTATGTAAGAGAAGTTAATCACAGGACACAATGTCCTCTAAAAGCCTTCTTTGAATTTAGCCCCAGAAAAAAATGCTTCCTCTCTGCCCCTTGATGCTATTTAAATGCACTAGAAAATTTCTGGGAAGGTGAAGGGATTGTGATACTGGGAATCTCTTACTCAGCAAAGGTGCTAATGTTAAGTATATTTCATTTAAATTAGTTTTGTTTAAGTATCTACAGGAAGCATTCATTTTAAAAAAGTGAACTGTAAAATCTCATTTTTATTAATGGCCTTAGCACATAAGATGTTTGGGGTTTTAGGTTTTGTTTTGTTGTTTTATTTTTTTTAGTGTCTATTGCTTTTTTGTTAATTGCCATGCAAATACACTGCAGTTGGCAGCTTTTTCATCTGGCACTATGACTAGGGCAGAAAAGAGCTTTTGCTGCTTTCTGCTCTCCCGCATTCTTTCTCCTTCTCTTCACTACACCAGACAACAAAATGACATAGTTCATTTGTGCAACTTAAAGGGGTTTCATGTGCTGTGTAGCTTTGATTTGATTTTGTTTATGTCTTTGAAATATGAAAGAGATTTTAACTCGTCATGACTTTTGATATTTAAAAAGAGTATTAGGCTCCTAATATTCTGGTCACTTTTGATTATCAGTTTTTGGTGTACTAGATCTACTGAAAGTTTTCTCTTCCTCTCTCATTGAACATGGAATGCTATAATAGTGTTTCGTAATTATAGTATTGCCTAAAGCATTTAGGAATTGCTGATTAGCAATTAGCAGGAGTTTGCCAATTCAAACATGTTAAGATGGCCTGAGAAATTATCATCCAACTAGGATGATCTTTGCACTACAGAGGATGGGGTAGTTCATATATGCTTTCTTCGCCCTACAGTTCCTTTTATTTTTTTGGATGTGGTATTTTTTGATGAGAATTAAGCAACCTATATACTCTGAAAGAAACTGAAATTTAGTGTGGGCTGGGGGTGAATCAGCTGAGATCTGTTGTCAGTCGCTGACACAAATAAGCATTTGGAATTTCATTTTGTCTTCATGATTTGTGTTGTTATTTTTGCTCATGTCTGAAATCCAAAGAGAATTTTTTGAAAGGTGGAAGTTGATAATAAGAAATATAAGCAACTAATAGTTTTTGTTTTAATTTGTCTGCCCCTTCTCATTGAAACGCATTTCTTTCTGGTTTCCTTTTTGGGAGTCTCTCACTATATAGGAGCACTGTCAGGGTTATTAGTAGATGATATAATATCCAGACTTACAATCTTTCACAGTCCTAGGATGTATTGGTAAACATGAAGGCTTAGACTGCTTCAGTGTTTCCTCAATGTCTAAAGACTAATTCAGAAAGTTGGAAACCAGTACTGTAACTTACTTTTAGTTTGCAGATTCCTTACCTTAAGGGTTTAATGTTAAGTGAGAAGTAAATTCTGCTACAAAAAAAAGTAGCTTAAATTTGTGGCCAATGTAACAGTGTCGGAACTGTCCCAGATTTGTGATGATGGAGAACTGGGAAAGCAGGGAGGACTAGTGCTGACAAAAACACTTCAGCTTTGTGCTTCTGAGCAAAATTATTATGAATATATGTTTACAAAACAGCTATAAACAGACTCTGCTGCCATTATTATAAATACCCAAACACTGTCTTCCACAGTTTTCACTTTAATAAGGTGGTGTAGGAGAGATGAAATGGATAAAGAGTGAGCTGGGATTTTGGTAGTGGAGTTCCCAATTAGATCAGACTGTGTACAGGGAATTGTTGAGATCTCATGCTGTAGCGCTTTGCAGAAGAATTGTTTCTGAGTCTATTGCAATATGTATTTACTAGAAGAAAAATTTACAAAATTTTTAGAGAATTCTTCTAGTGGAAGTAAGTCTTCCTGAAATTCTCTCTTATGTTTGGTAACAGTGCATTGGTCATAGGGCTTAATGGGAATTTCTAGTTTGTTTATGTGAACATTATTCTAAGTGCTTAATACAGAAATCCATAGCTGTAAGTTTTATATGTGCATCTGAAGTTTTGAAGAGTATAAAACAGGAATTAGTTTTTACTTTTGCAGTAGATTAAAAATTTTAAGTTTAAAGATTAATATATGTGAATTATGAAAATTATCAAACCTATCTGTGTCTTCAAGTGAAAGTGGTTGCATGCTGCATGCTTCATATAAATAGGATACTATTTAGCAGTCTACATGTAAGATGTAAGTACCTATTTTTTTTTATACTCTGAAAACATATTTGTACAGTTTCAGTTCCTCAGAAAACATAATATGTGAATTTCTTTTTGTTTTGGTAGATGTTGTAATCAGTAATAATTGCAGCCTTTAGCACAGGTCCCCAGTTGTGAATAACAGGCAAGAAACCAGGCTCTCGGAAATACTCGGTATTGGCCCTGAGAGTCTGCAAGAAGATACTGGATTTTCGGTTTTGATCCTGAAGGTCTGATATTCTTCCTGGTTACAGGTAGATTCCTTTGCTCCTAGAATAATTCCAAGAAGAAGGAAGTTGAATGGGATTTGAGAATATTAAAACTTATAAAGAGAATGCTGGAGGTAGGGAAAAGTTCAAGTACTAGAAAAATACTTAAAGGTTTAAATAAACTTTAAGATACTAGAAATTCAATTATGATCTCAAAAAGGGGAATAAAAAAAGCTTGAACCCTTCCCCCTCCCCATAGCTCTCATTTAATTTAATCACTGTTCAGTTAACGCAACAGACAAGAGAGTCTATGACTAGCTGTGCAAGTTGCTTGTCTGTGTCGAGGCAAATAGCTAAGTAAATGGATATGGCCACATAGTGTAATATGGCATGTATGTTAACAGGTATCAAAGAACTAATTTCAGATCTGGAACAAGATCTAAAGGTCACCAAATGAATTAAACTACAAATATTTCATCTGCATTCCTTTTTTTTTTAATTTTTCAAAGGGCAAATCTTTGGCTTTGACTAGAGAGTGTAATTTTGTCTTTAGATTTATATAGCACTGTAAATATGCAGAACAACTTAGGCAAAAGTCCTGTTAAGGAAATCCTTATACATTCTTTGTCTCTATCCCTTTGCTAAATAAAGATAACTTTTCACTAGGATTTTTTTTTTTTTTCCTGGAAGAACATTTTAAAAAGGATCTCTGCATAGTTTAAAGTTTTATGAATACAGAAGTGTCATAGTGAATTAAGTAGATTTCTACATATTTTATTACGTGGATAATTGCAAAGGAAAGAGTATCTTCATGTTTGTTATAAAAGAATTTTACTGGAATTGCAGGCTTTGACTGCTTGCTTCCTTGGGTGCTGCTGGAAATCTTGTGCTAATGAATGGTCTGCTTTGTCATCCAGAGTTACGCAGGGAACTAGGGTAAGAGGGTTATTTTATAGTTTTCATTTTAGCTGGATCAGTGATAAACAAATACTGTCTGAATCATGATTGCTTTCTGCATATTACAGGTACCTATTTGTTGAAAACCAGTATAGTTTTTGATACCTTTAAAAAGACAGCCCAATTTTTTTTCTTTCTAGAAAGGGGGAATGTACCTTTCAAATAATTGTTTAACTCTCAACTCAGAAGTGCCTAGTGTGATACTGAAAAACGTAGCAACTAACTCGGAGTGCAGTTGACTCTTTACATTAAGCAGTTGAATTGCTTTTGTATAGCTATATACAGATGTATACTTTGGAAGAGTTTTTTGAAGAGGCCTATGTTAAAAAAAAAAAAAAAATTTAAAACTACATATTTTTACATGTGGCATGTAAGGTACAGCCACCTCCCCGCTGCCATTTGCACACCTATGCTGTACTCTGTTACAGTGTAAAAATAGTGTGACAATGCATCTTAAGCCTGTCTTTGTGTTCAGAGCACTTTACTTACTCTCTCCTAAAAATAGATAAACATTATGGTATCGAAATTCTTACCTGAATTTCCATAGCAATTTCAGTAAGACTGAATTTATAGAAATGTTACAAAATATTAAAAAAAAAATCTTATACAAGCATATTCAAATCTGAATTTCATTGCGAAGTACACCAAGAAGCAATGAAAACATACTTCAGGCTCAAGTATTCTAACAGAGCCATTCTGAACACAAAATTAAACTAGAACTTTTAAAGTAACTTGTATGATATCCAGTTAAAAAGAATTAAAAGCTCTCTCTTTGAGCTGTTGAGCTAGATACTGGTTCAAGGAATTTGTTCACTTTCTCAGTGAACACTCTGTAATTCTCTTTCTCTCTAAATTCAGCCCTGCATGTCTTATATTAATATATTTAAGACCTATAGGTTCTTGATACTAGCTTTTTCTGGCATTTTGAATATTGGAAAACCAAACATCCTGTCTAGTTATTCTGCTGCTGTTTTTTGCAGAGTACAAGACAATGCATTTCCTAAACTGTTAGACCTACTCCTATTGCAATGAGCAGCTGAATTCCTGTTCAGCTCAGCAACAGCCATTTACTAGGTGATCACATCCTTTCAGTATGATCCTGTTTGTGCATCTTCATCTGTGTGTTTCTTGGCCGGTGGGTGAGACTTTCCAGTTGATAAGTTCATTTACCTTTTTTAATGCCCCCCCCCAATAAGCCAACAGAATCGTAACTAAATTTGATTGCTGGCTGTAGCTGAGTTCCTTCATAGTTGTGAATTAAGGGATGGATTTGATAACTAACTACCGATATAAATACTTATTCTGATAATCTAGAGGAACTGAGCTGCTGCCAGCCATACGTCAGCCTGGTTTCAACTTTTTTTTTTTTTTTTAATGTTTCACAAAACTTATTTTTAAGTTTCCTTTGTAGCTAAAAAGAAACTACCAAATGGTTCCTTGCTACTGTTTTCAGCCTTTCACAATTCCCAGGGGAGTCAGAGGCTCAGTTTGAGAAATACCACTGTAAGCTTTTTCCTACAGGAATGTAGTAATATTGCAGAGAAAACTGTGGGCGGCTTCTGAAATATGTCACAGATGTTATTTTTCATTTTTTGACTTCTTCAGAAACTGCCTATCCACTTCAAACCAATGACACTGTTTCCTTTTAAAAGTACTTTTTTTTTTTTGTAGATAGAACAATATATCAGAGAGGATCTTCTTGTAGCCTACAACCATATTAATTTTAGTTAGTCCTAAGTTTTCTCTTGGGTAAAAGAACAGGTTAAGGTCAATTCATGATTCTTTTGCTTTACGCAGGTGCTCTTTTATCTTCAGTGGAGGAGACTGGTAGGAATTCGTCCTTTCCACCTTTACAACACTTTTGTTTAAAACTGGGTGAGAGTCCCTAAAAATCAGTGTTGTCAGAGGTAGTAGGTCTAATATTACACCTTAATGATCCTTAAATATAGACCTGTTAGGTGAGTTAGTGTTTTATTTCTTGGGGAGCATGGTCTGCATAGGAAAAACAGGCAGACACAGGTCTAAATGCATAAGCTGTGGAGCAGTTGTAATGATGACATACAGTTCTTTGTATAGCTAGTAAATACTAAATGTAAGTTTTGCCTGTCTCTGGGCTAGAACAGCAAACTCCCAGATAGAATAGCAGAAAAATCTTGAAACTGCAGAACGGAAAGGAATGGAGTATTGAGTGGAAATTCAGAATTAATTGTAATAATTTCTTGCTGTTAAAACATGCATTTTTTTCCCTTGCTTTACCAGAGATGGCCAATCTATTAATAGAAAAGGCTTATTTCATTATTTAAGTAAAATAATTATTAATTATTTAAAGAGGGGAAAAAAAAACTCAGGAACTTTAACTTTGTTGGCAGTTGAAGAACCGAGTTAGGAAAATGTTTAAATTTTATACATACTGAAGTCTGCTGCCACCAGAGAGAAAAAAATCAAAAAGCAATTCCTCTTTATTTTATAACCTTATGTTATATACTTCTTCTGTTTGGAAGAAACTTTTCTGTCATGTTTGGGAAACTATACACAAGAATTGCATTGGTGGGGATTTCTGCTTTCCATTACAGCACATAGCACAAGCTGTGGAAGACAAAAGGTGAACTAACATATTTTTTCCTGTAATTAATACTTCTAATTTATTTGATTATCGCTATAAAGCTTGCAAAATAAATCAACTGAAGTATCTAACTTTTTCCTGTGGACACGTTAGCAAACCTTCAGCTGTAAAACAGCAGCAGGTGTTTGCTGCCCTGATGGTAACTTGGGTTGTGTAACAGCCTAACAGTAACCCGGCTGCTCCAGAATAACAGCACTGCCATCATCAAGGTGTTCCTTTGAGACCGGATCAGGGATGTGCTGGGTTTTTTCTTTTAAGGTGATCAGTAGTTTTTTGTCACTATTTTGCATGATAGTGGTAATTAGGTCAATCTTATGTTTTATGTTTGTGGGGTTTTTTTGTTTCTTTCTTTTTTAATTCTCTTCCTTTCTAGCTTATTTGCCTAAATAACTTTCTAAACTCGTGATGCAGGATATAACCAAAGTTGCTACTTCCTAATCATTTTGAAACAGAACTTTATTCATCATTTAACTTGTCTTACTTTGCCAAATTACTAATAACATTTTTCATTTGCCAAACCAAGGTTCACTGACATCGGTCTGTAATCCTTTATTTTTTTTTCTTTTTCATTCAGATGCAACCAAGAATGAGTAAGTGTTCTAGACACTGTTTCTAATAAATCACAAATGCATTAATAACCCTGGAATTTGCAAGGCGTGACCTAAGACACTAACAGCCACTAGATGTAGCAACTGGTGCTTAACACTGGAAATGTCCATTGTTAACACATTCCCAGGAAATATTTTTAGGCTTATCAGGGGAAAATGTCATACATTTGATAATCAGGTCTTTTTTAATTAACTGATGACCAATTTCTTCTGGGTATTTTGTCTGTTCCATTTTGTTCTCAAAAAACCCGTAGGATGTTAATTAAAAGGCATTCATTTCTGAAACCAGAAATCAGTGTCTCATAGCTGTATTATTGTGTACTCTACTACAGAAAATACACATGTAGATCTGTAGTCCTCTATATCCTCTAACGCTGCTGTTTGCAGTTAACTTTTGAAAAGGTGCATCCTTTCTGAACTGTGTTTTCATTCACATTTAAAGCATTAGAACTATTTCTTTATCACCATAAAGATTCCTCTGCTTGGTTTCTTACCAAAAGTAACTTTCTTTCCCTGAAGCTTGAGCATTCAGCTGTTGTCCAAGTTGTATAAATTCATTCCTTCAGGTGGAAAACAAAAAAAAATTGCTAAGAAGAAACCACCAGTGGACAAAGTAACTAATGATCTGTGTTCTGAGTCATGGCGAAGGATTTAATTAAAAATAAATTGACATTTAAATACTGTGGTGATAAGTATAATAAAAGTATTTTAAACTTATATGAAGGAAACTCAAAATTTCCTGTTCTTTAATTTCAGATCTAATTTCTTTAAAACTGTTTTCATGCATTACTTCTGCTAGCTTACCTTGGATAATTTTAGTGCTTAAGATAAATCCCAGTGTATACTTGTCTGTCAGCCCATTTCTACAGAAAAACCCACGCAGAGGGGAGAAAAGGAGCAACTTGCTATAAAGGGTAACTGATACCGTGTACAAAATGCCCAAAGTAGAAAACACAAAATAGTTTCATAATCTCTTTACTCTGTGCTTACCAGGAAAGTCCAATAAACTCCTAATGTCAATGTCTGTTTAGCTGATAGAAGGTTTGTTGCTGAGGCTGGAAGAAGGGATGGGGTCCAGACCCAGCTCTGGGGCTAGCTTGGGTGAGAAAAACCCTCCTGTCTCCCCTGAACAGGTTTGTGCCCGGTGAGCTGAGAGCATCCTACTGTCCACCGTAAAGCCTGCCTGCGTCGAGCCCCATACAGAAGGCATTTCCTCTTTCAAAAATGTCCTGCTTAATTGGTGGCAGCTCAGGAAAGCTAATTGGAAATGTCCATCTAAGTTATTTAAAGTTGCTTTTGTTGTTTTGTACTGCTTTTTAAAGAAATGATTGATTCAAGCAGTCAGCTCAATAAAATCGCCGTGCCTTTCTTTGCAAAAGCAAGCACTGTCTTTTAGCATTAACAATTATACAGATAATAAAAGACTGTGGTAAGTTGCTCTGTTGGTGACAGATTATCTTGATACTAGCACAAGCACCTACATTGTTCATGGTGCCGAGTATTTTGACTCAGACAGCCATCGGGTGCCATAACTGTGTAAGCCTTTTTTTTTTCTTTTTTTCTTTCTTTTTTTTTTTTCAGGCCATGACACAGTTAAATCAATGATCAGAATATTGATTAGCACAGCTTCAATGTATTATTGGGATAATTTCAAAAAAGATAGAGCAGAATGAGGAAAAAGCACCAAGGCAGGCAGCTAGTTTGGTCAGAGTTTTGGAGTAGTTCCTGTGGTGGGAGGTTATTAAATAGAGTCTTCAGCTTTGGAAAAAGGTACCGAGCATGAGTGGAGGACGGAGATTAATATAAAGGTATGTAAAATCGTGACTGGCGTGAGAACAATTATTCATTATTTTTTTGGTAACTCAAAGAATGGTAGGCATGCAATGAAGTGACCAGGAAGCAGATCTAAAATAAATAAAAGCACTTTGTAGTTTTCCAGCCAATGCCTAATTATATTGTGAAACTTGTTGCCACAGGATGTTTTGGATACTGAAAGTATGAATGGGTTCAAAAACATTAGACAGATTTACAAAGGGCAGGCCATTCACAGCTATTAAAGACATAGATCTGTGTGCAATCTCTGGTTTAGGAAGGCCCAAAGGCACCAGTGCTGAAAGCTAGAAGGGTATATTGGGACAGGATTTCTCAATGTCTGTTGTTCTGCTCTTTTTGTCTCTCTTTCTTCCTTGGGATCCATTGCTGGGTCCATTCAGATACAGGGCTAGATTAACCTTTCCTATGTTATGTTGCATGGGGGACTGTTTTTCAAGGTGTATAACTTCAAATAGTTTCCTGTTAAGAATGAGTTTGAAAGGGAACTGATTATTTTGGAAAATCCTTGCCAGAAATTGTGAAGTTCATGTGATGTCAGCAAATCTTTTCCTTAGTGGACAGTAGTTAACTCATATTTTCATCTCTTTCTGTTTGACGAGGTTGTGACTGCATGCAAAGCCTAAAGGCTTAGTCTTTTCATTAGAAGAGAAAAAACAATCTTTAACTCTGCCACACAATCCTAGAATAACTTTTTATAAAAGCCTTACTCTCTAAGGAAACTGCCTGGTCCTTTACAGTTTAATGTAGAAGTTTTTGTCTTAATATTTGAAAAGAAGTGAGACTGAGGGGGTTTTTTTCCCCAGGTGTTACAAGGATAGAAAAAAGTCCACAAAAGGTGAAATGGAGGAGTTATGCTGTTCTACAATGCTTAAACATGTGTTGCCACCTTGTGGGAATCCTCACGTGGATAATGTCACTTTACACTGTCATCAGTAAAATCATGTGTATGTAAAAATGTTTTTAGGATTCATCCTTTGATTTCATGGAATTCTTGTTCATTAGAAAGGTATTAACTTCCACCCTTTTTCTCTTGTAATTTTTCCCTTCCCTCTGCCTCTTAGAAAACAGCAGACATCTGTGATTTTACTGAGTAAATGATCTCTTAAAGTATGTTTAAAATGTGATCATTTTACTTTTATGTGTTCCTTTTGTCTTTTCAGGACAGCCCAGAAACTTGCAAGATCTATGCCGAATTAAAATCCGTCAGTGTATAGGCCTTCAAAACCTAAAACTACTTGATGAACTACCCATTGCCAAGGTCATGAAAGACTACTTAAAACACAAATTTGATGATATCTGATATCCATGAAGAGAAGAACTCTGAGCAAGATTAGTTATATTCCAGATACTGAAGAGGCTTGTTGCCTTGCACAAAGTATATCCTATGCAAATTCTGATTTTTTCTGTGAAGTCAGAAGGCAGATATACACTTCCTTGGGTTTTTTATACCACACGCTAGAAGGTCTTAATTTTTGGTTTCTTGGTCCAAGTTTACAAGGTCCAAGCTTTCTATACAATATTACATTTTAAAAATTGCTGTTGGTTTTTTGTTTGTTTGTTTGTTTTCACATTAAGTGTGCAGACTTGCAGTGGAGATGGAAGGTAGCCTCTCAAGGGAAGCAGTTGGTTTGAATTGGCATGCTGAGCAATTATTCAAGAAAATAAAGTTTGGAAATCAAGGCACCAGTCCTGCAAAAGGATACCAATAGAAAGACCTTCAGAGCCCTGTTGTCTGTTGGGACTCTTGTCTCTGCCAGGGCATATGTTTTTTGCAGGATAGAGGGAAGAGTTGATAATCGACATGTCTTAGGGTACTGTATGAATATAATTTGGAAATTAAAGAAAAAATGCAGTTATCCTGTTCAATTTGAGGGTCTATACATTGGCTCTTTTTATATTATTCTTTTCCTAATTACTGTAGTTGGGATGCCCATAAAATTCAGGCCCTCTTCTTTCCTGACATTCCCTGTTAAATGGGCGGCTGTTTGTAAGTCTATTTTTAACAGTGACAGTACACTACAAAGAGGCATAGCCTCTGTATTTTTTACATTAACTTAAGAGTAAACAAATTTAGATTTTTGTTTTAAGCCAACGTATTCTGTTTCTCATACAGTGCCTCCTGTGCAATAATCTTTCTGATGTATTTTCCCTTTATGTGTGATTCCCCCCCACACTATTCCTCATTTAGTCTCAGTGCATTATTTGTGAGAATAAGAACTGCTGCCTTGCTGTGGTGTTGACGTGACATTACGAAAGTAATGCAGCAGTTGCTGTTCGTTATTACTCCCTGAATTTCATGAATGTATAACCTGCTTTATTTCACTTTCAGTTGAAATTTTATCTACGGGTTCTCAGCCAAATTGTGCCCATTTAAAAAAAAAAAAAGAGAAGAAATTGGCCAAACCCTTTTGTTTTAAAAGCAGTGATAGATTTTTTTTTTTGATTGCTCTGAAATTCAGTTTGTTTCAGGTTAGAGAGTGGGAAGTGCACATAAGTTATTAAGACACATTTTATATGTGCTCAAACAAGAATAGCCCCATTCATATTGAAAGTTTAAATTTTGCAATTAATCTGAAAGGAGCAACTGAAAGGAGTACTGAAATTCAGCTACTGAATGTGTTTTTCATACTAGGTGTTAAAAAGATCTGTTAAAAGAGTTTTGTTTCTGATCATAAAAAAAAAAGAGTTCTTGCTATCAAAAAAAGATTGGGCCAAAATGTGCAGTTGTTTCACTCTCTTTATTTTCAAGGGATTATGGAGTCATAAGGTTCTTGCCAGTGTCCTCTACTTTTTCTTTTGCCATCCTACTGGCTCTGGAAGAGCCTCTCTAATATCAGGAGTACTTTTGTACCAATTATACCAATGGAAGCGGGGAGATGAAAGGAACAGTGGTGGCTTTTAACACTGTCACTTTCAAAATATTTAATATTAAAAATATGAAAAGCAAGGTGAAGCAGGTATACTCATATTATTTAACTGTGCTAGTTCATTTTAATGTCTTATAACCCTGCACTGCAATTCCTTGAGCGCGAACCTTATCACCGCTAATGGATGCACCAGAACTACAGCAAGCAAGGAGGATTATCTCTCCCTATTGTCCCTGGCATTGCATCAGGTTTCCAAACAATAAGTGATTTTGGAGATTCATGGCTCAGAGGATTGGTAATGGGATGTTGAACCTTTTTATCTCCAGCATGTATTGGTTCAAGTCCAGCCTGCTTGAGCAGTGACCAAAAGTTCATGTCTCAGCAGTGTGAGTGAGCAAGTGTATCCGACCTTTACACCGTGCAGTGGTTACCTCGCGGCAGTAGAGCTTTATAGTGCTTCCTCCAGGTTGTATGTAGTGGTGGTGGCATTGTAGCAGGGACAACCTGAGAGTGTGTGTAGGGGGGTGTGTGTGTGAGCTTGTGTGTGTGATGGTGTCTGTTGGCTCCTATTGAAGTGAGAAAGATCAGCCACTACGATCTTTAAGCTCTCCAGTACTCAGACAGGACAGATGTTAAGAATTGACTGGCAGGTTTTAAGCATGAATCTTCAGTTTTGTGACATGAGATCAGAACCTTAACATTGCTTTCTTTTTTTAAAAAAATATTTAGTATTGTTCACTACATTTGTAAGTTGGTCTAAACCAATGTCCTTCCCCACTGAATTTTTACAGTAATATTTTCTAAGGTAATCTAGAATATATTTTAGTTGCAATCTATATTAAGGCAAATTATTTGTTCCGTCTGTTGCTGTGACTGAAGAAAATTATGGAAGATTTTGTTGGTAACAAGAATGCTATTTAATGAAGAAATGTGTAATTCCATTATTTATTCTTTGAGGTTTGTTTTTTGGTTATTTCTTTTAAGTACCTGACATCTAAAGGGAACACACATACAGTTCAGGCCAGTAAAAAAGCCTTTCTTTTAAATTAATTTTCATCCTATCCTCTCTCCCTTCCCCAAGGTGGAGGGAAGCCCTTGCCCTTTCTTATGATTCTAAGCCATCGCTTGTAGCTGGTTTCTCTGACCTTGATTCTGCAAAGCGCCGCAGCACATGCGTGTCTCAACCTACTAATAGTCCCATTCTCTATCTTAAGTTATACATGTGCTCGACTGCGAGTGAAGTATGATCATTCATTGATAATCCTATCCAAATTTCAAGAATGGGGAATTTGGTGTCTTTTATGATTTTAAATATTGTGCACAAATACTTTGAAGAACAAACTGAACTTTGTTTTTCTTTCAGACTAGAATGTGGAAGGAGAAGTGCATAATATAGACTTGTTATGTAGCCTAGTTCCGTTACCTTAAAATTCACAGCTGAACACTTTTAATAAACCTTAAAAAATTGGCAAATACACCAAAGAATCAACATGAGTAAAAGACTCTGATCATTAACAAACTGCAAACCTCATCCTTTAAAACAAAGCAGAAAGTTTTTGTAAATATTTATGTTTATAAATGTACAGCAGAGTAAGAGTGTTTTTTAGATTATTTAATTACCATATTTCTAAACTATTTACATTATAGACAATACTTGTTAGTTTGAAAAGCTCTTGAGTGTTTTTTTTTTTTTGTTTTGGGTTTGGTTTTATTTTTTTTTTTAATTCATTGTCACTCATACTTGGAATAACTCTGGCTTCCTCGGGATAGCATGGAAAATTCAGTTTTCTGGCTGTAGTTGGCAACCGTAAGAGAACACATCTGGACAAACTCATCAGATAAATACCCAGAGGCAAGAGAGGGTATGTAGCATGTTTACCAGGGTGGACCTGGGCTAGATGAAAAAAAATTGGATCCCAACTTTCTCAGTTAAATCTGTTGAGAGTCACCAATGACATGGCAACCTGCCCACAAGTCTAGCTTCCATGCAACACTGTTACCAATATCGTAATGTATTTTGTTCTTCCTTTGCGATGTAAGTTTTTGCTTTGGGTCAACTCAAATTTAAAAGAAAAAAAGTTAAACCTGGTTCAACCCTTTTTTTTGTTTGCTTGTTTATGTTCTATTTATTTCTAATGTAATGTTTTAATAACATAATACCACTTTACACATTTTCTCTCAATGTTTGTTTGTCTCTTCTACTCCTTTTCCTTTCTCCGGTGCACATGATTCTGGTAATGTGTTTGATACTCAAATTTGCCCCCACAAATAGGAGTACAGATGTCTCATGAATTGTAACATGATTTTTACCAGTAAATACGAGCATAAAACTCACTCTGGAGCTGGACTTCAGAAGAGGGAACAAACTGATCTTTAGCTATGAGTAGTTGGGTTTTCCGTGCTTACATTCCAGTACAGCCACTTCAGGGTTTTCTGAAATTTTCATCTTTCCTCGTCAAGTTCATGTACTGACTAAGATACAAAAGTGAACCAAATAGAGGTCATATTTTGCAGTTGAATCTGTTTGGTGTCCATTTACTACTAATAAAAGTCGAATAAGAGGGATGTATATGAATATTTCTGGCACACAAGTGGTAACTGGAAGCATTTGGTTTCAGTCATGAGAGTAACGTGCAACCAAAAGTTGTAATAAGGTTTTGGACCCTAAAAATCTGGAGGGGAAGGAGAATAGATTTAAAGACACTACTGCTAAATGGTAGTAGGGAAAAAAGATTATGTTTTCTACTGCTCAGTGGCAAACTATACAAACATCACTGGGAGTACATATGCTGTACAACCAACAGTTGTGTTTAAAACTGTTGATGATGGTTACTAACAGACTGGTCAGACTTTGACTGGTGTATTTACTGAATGCTGTGTTAAAGACTGTTCCTGTTTATGTATCATATTTCCTGTTTGAGTGTTCACTTGTTAAGTTTAAAACAATTAATGACTAATGCTACTACTTAAAAAAAACTGATTTACAAGCTGTTGACAAATTACGTGTTTAGAATATACCATCTTTCCATATATTGGTATAAGTGTGCGATAAGGAAGTGTACTTATTTTATATGGCAAAACACTTTTTTTTACCCTAGTGTATAACAAAACTTTTGTACCTTTGAAAGCAAACATAATGGATCTGATGAAAACAAGCGAACAGGCTCTGCTGTGTCTTTCCCCAAACAGCCTGGACTGAAGCATTTAAATTCTCTTTGCTCTAGTCTCTCCCCTCTACTTTGGTTGGCGCTACCACCACCTCAAAGGTTTTATACTGTTCTTTGAAACTGGAATAGTATTGAAAGGCTAAAGTTTGTTCTTTTTCTATATCCCTGGCATACTGAATCTCTTCTATATGATTCTACTTCTTGACTTATGTTATTAGCCAAAGTAAAGCTCAACGTGTGATTTAATCCCATGATAATAAGAAACGAATCAGATATATACATTGCTTTATGGAACCATGCTACCAGGAATTCCTCAGCCAGTGCACTCCCCAGGGATCCACAACGTGCAGCTGGAACAGCAAAAAGTTGGGATCGAAAGCTGCGTTGACTTTTATTGGGAAATCTCCAGCTGTCTAGTGAAGAAATCGGGACTCCAGCTGTTTCCTCCACATCTGGGATCTCTAGTGCTGCTGACTGCTGTTTGTGAGGTCCCAGGTAAGTTTTGAATGCTGTTGAGGCTTGTCTTCATGTTTGCAAGAAGGATGTTTGACACATCTACAGAGGGTGCTTGTAAAGGGTCTGAAAGCATTTCTATGCCTTCTCTAAACTTGCCAGGTTTTTCTGTACAGTGCAGTTTGTGTAGTCTTATAGCAAGAGTGTTTGAGAGCAATGGGTACTACAGAGAGAATTTCCCAGACTTCAGCTTGATCTGTTGCAGTGTTTTGCAGACACCTCAGCATCCATGAAATACTCCTAAAATGTTCTGGGAACAGTGAATGAAAAGCAAGCTTATAGGCAGTAGGTTATACAAGGATAATTGCTTTTAAGAGAAAATTTAAGTCTGTAAACAACTGACGTGCAGCAAGGAACGTCTAGTCTTTTTTAAAGACCACAAAATTGGCTGTAACTCTTCTGTTCTGACTTGCCAAAATAGCTTATTTGCAGTCTTAGTACTCTCCAGATATATCAGAAGATCATCTCCTGTTCTGTCACAAGTAACTAAGAGTTAATGGAAGTATTATACTAAATTCTGTCCTCATTTCTGACTTACACCATTAACTCCACTGAAGGTGGTGGTTACTCAACATTTAATCTAGTGTGAACGAGCAAATAATTGATTTGGATGGCCAGCTTGCAGTCCTGCTCCTTGCTTTATGGCCTAATGAAGAGAGTATTTTTGGAAAGTATTTGCAAAACACTTTGTGAAGGAGTGCTAAGAGAGATTCTGTTCTTGGGGCCAAATTTATAAGCAACCAGTAGACAATTTTTTCTTCTTCTAAAAACATCAGCTGTTTTGATATAGTTGCTTAAATAGTTTGATATCTACTCATGAGTTGGTGAGAGACATTTCAGTTTGTCCATTTTATATATTGAGAAGCTTAACGTATCTGCTTATTCGCTAATACAGCAGATTAGTTCAAGTAGATCTGCAATGAAATGTAAACTCATTTTATTTTAATTAATTAATTAATTTTAAAGCCATTACAGATTAAATTTTATGTATGTCAGTGTAACAGCAGGTTCTTCTGTTCTTTGCTGAATGCATGCTTGCTTGCAGCCAGCAGTTTGCATTCACAATGTGTTTAAAATACTAGGTTTTGAATTTGAGTAGCATCTTGTTGGCTGAAACTGTTAGAGCTGCCCTTGTCACTGCTATGTCTACGCCTAAACTGAGGCTGGGAA